ATTAAATTATAGTTATAAGTTAATATTTGGAGAAAAAGTTGTAAGGAAAGTTGTTAGGCACTTTCTTTAAATCTATAATATCAAACAGTTCTTTTAGTTACGCTGTTATTGATTGTAATGATTAGATATTTTCTGAAACATAAGTATTATTTTCTAAAAAATGCTTTTTTCAAATATTTTATATTCATATATGATTCTTATGACGTAAAACAAGGGCTGTAAAAAGCACGGTCCACGTTTTTAATCTACCACAATTAAGCAAATCTTCCTTTGTTGTATTTTGATAACATTATATCATTTGTTTTTTATGGAATCCCAAATTAATGAATTAAAATGTTTTAAATAATTGATTACACTTCACGTTAATTTATTTAATTGAGAATGACTTTAATACATATTTCTTTGTAGAACTGGTTCCAAAAACTCGTATCCAGTGCCATTAGTCATCACATATAGTCATCAAATAAAATATTTTACATATGGTAACAACTAATTTTAATAATGTTGATATTAATAGAACTATAAAAGATAAATTAATGAAGAATTAAAAATATTAAATTTAACATTATCGCCGTATTTTTATTTTTCTCTGGTAAAATTATGAACATATGTATTTATTTCTACGGCCATGCAATCTATTCAGTGATGTGTATTGACCCGAGATCTTATCTGGTCGAGATAGTTCTAGTGTAAAAATTAGCAATTAAGGATCTTAATATCAATTTCAACTATAATAGCAGTAAAATTTTACTTTTACTATGAATCCAAAGTTGGACTACAACAAAGTTGTCGTTCTTAAGAAGTCTGAAGGCGACATTTAGCACATCATCTCGTTTATGAGATCTACACGAACGATAAAATGTACTATAAAAAATATTTTCTATGTTTTAAATAATAAAATTTCTTCTAACTGGTATTATTTTTAATGCTAGTTTCTAAGTAATTTCTCGAAACTTGAAGTTCTTTAAATGTCCTACTCTGATACACCTATACATATAACAGTTGTTTATATTAAATTAAAAATATTATATATTACTTACCATCCCTGGCAGTTTGCTCCTTTCTTATGGACTCTTTTGTACATTGAATTTTTGTGTTAAGCCGATCAATTGCTTGTAGGCTTGAAGTGCGTTCATGATGGCGATGATGTTTTTTATTGTTGTCAGCTAAAGAACTGGGCGGATTACCATCGACGTCATCTGATGCAAATGATTGATAGCAAAGATCTTCATTGCCTATAAGTACATTTAGCAAATTATTAGTATTATAAATAATAATCTAAATGTTTTGAATATTTTTTTTAACACACCTGATAAACGTGAATCTTCTATAGTCACACCACTACCACTACCACCACTGTCCATTGCACTTATATCACTTAGTAATCCACCACCCATACCGCTATAAGCTAACAAACCACCTTGATCCGAACCATGTGTGCGGTTAAATTCTCTACGATTTCGTTCCCGACTTCTCCGATTTGAAGGACTGTGACTTCGGAAGCCACGAAATGTAGCGACAGATGTGCCTACAATTCCACCACTGCTCACACTACCACCTCCTATACTACCAGTAATTGCCGGTTCCGAACTTTCAACACGTTGATCTCGCTCTCTGGACACTATGGAATATTTCATTTGCGTCATGATTGTGAATTTTTATGTGCCGTAGTTTAAAAAAGGAAGTAAAAAGTAGGAGCCTTGTCAATTAACGGGTTTTTATAATCCTTTAACTAAGGTTTTTATAAGATTTGTTATAATGTGCTTTAGATGTAGTTTTTTAAAGCATGTAACTGGTGTCCTGTTCTCGTTATAGTTACTTTTCTTTATTAATGTATTGCGAAAAGCAGTAGAAGACATGCAAATGAAGGCGTAGCATTTGTAGGCAGAAGCGTGTGTGTAAATATGTATGTGCGCACGTGATTGTGTTTTGCAAACGAAACAAGAAAAAAAATTTATAAAATAAAAATTGAATATAAATTGTTTAAATATAGATAGCATAAACTAATAAATGGTTAACAGAAATTGAACTATGTTTAGCCATATCTTACATTATAACACCGTAATTAGATTACGGTATAACGGTTTTTGCCGTTAAAAAGTTAAAGAGACTAGATTTAAAGAATTTAGTCCTCTATGTTCTAGATATATTATATTATTTAATTTAAAATACAATATCTCAATTATAAAAAGAAATAAAGAAAAGCATAATATGATTATTATATTCATAATATCGATCAACTTTTCATTAACACAGATATATAGCCAGATGGTATTAGTACCGCTATTCTGAAAGACGAGATGGATTCACATCTCAAGCAGTTCTGTAAATTTTTAAGTCACTTTATTGACTATTAGCAATTTTGAATAAAAATACCTTTGTGCTGATCTAAAATCCTATTGTGTCAAGTTGATAAAATGGATTAAGTCATTCATAACCGTATTGGTGGGTTTGTTCAATTGACATTTCAAGAAGCAAGCAGTTTCAATGTATAAGAATCTTATGGTGAGTGTTACACAATAACAAAGCAGATTTAGTTGAGCAACAATTTAGTTTTCCCTTCCTCACCAATTACTTTAACAGTAGGCATAAAAGAAGTCCCACTCAAGTTGTCGTACCCAATTACTAGAGAGTGTGCTCTTTGATTAACATCAAAAATATAAGGATAAGCAAAGCCACCAGAACTCTTCTCTTGGTACACTAAACTAGTCATATGTAGTTAATGATTAAATCTGATATTTAATGCGAACATTAAATCATAAGTCAGATAATATAAAGAAGAGTGATAAATATACTAACCATATATAAACGTTCCCCATGTTTTACGGTAATTTGATAGGACCCAGATTTTCAGTAGGGAGAACATAAAATTGCAGAAAGGAATCTTTAGAAAGAGACATGAAATTGCAGACAGAATATTGCAAATTGCAAATATTGATATATTAATTCAGTTTAAACAGAAACTGAATAAACAGAATAATAAAATTACAATAAGTATTTTTGTATAGTTGTAGAACTATTTTAAATTTTGTTGTACTATGGATTTTATTGTGTATGCTGCCTTTTAAAGCAAATTGATTTTGAAGACGACTCAAGGCTGACACAAATAAATAATAATATTATTGTTAAATAAATTGATATGTATTTTTCTGCTTTTTTTTTTGAATTAATTTGTTTTGTATAAAATTGAAATTTATTCGCATATTATTGTAGTATTTATGTTAAATGAAGAGCTAAAGCTATCCTATAATATATGAAATATAATAAATTATAAATAAAAATATTGTAATTACTTTGTTCGGAACTGCGTGTGGTCGATGGCGATCTACTCGTGCGTAAAGTATTTCCTATCGACTGATGTTGTTTTTGTAGTAGTTGTTGATCTTTAGACAGTTGATTACTCCCGACATAGAAGCTATCCATTTTCAGTGCATCATACTAAGTATTCTATACATTATTATAGTGATTTAGTGAATATGAAATGGTTTACTTCACTAGAAACTCATCGTGAATATTTAACTAATTTATATGAATAATATATTAAATATTGGACCTGTAATGAAATGAAGAAAAACAGAAGTGCTTTAATATTGCATTTAATTTTAGTTATATACATATTTTTATTTGTTTAATATATATAAAATATTTATTGTCAGAGCTTATTTATTATTGTTTTAAATTGAGTGCATAAAATACAATTCATCTTGGCACTGAGAAGTACAAATTCCAAAGGTGAATCACCTCTAACTCTTACAGTTAACACAGTTTTCATATAACACAGATAAGAGATACTTAAATCAAATTAAAATATACATACGCATGCCTTCATATATACTTGTTGTATATATTTATTATATTATAATTAAAAGCTTATCAAACAAGATTCATTGACTTTATATAATGCATGTTGGCACTTCAATTTATTTGCGTTTCACTATAAAATGCAAAATTATTTCATTGAATATTTTAGATTTTATTAAATTGCATTAGCAGTAAAATTAGTTGAGATACAGTGAATTTCACTTCACTGAGAACAAAATTATTGAAATTGATTAAATCATGAAGTTGATTATCTATAAACTTTTATTTGTTATATATTTATGCTAATCCAAATATTTACAATTTTTTTTTGGTTCTTAATCAAAAATAATTGAATAAATAAATAATTGTACGAATATTCAGCATTTGAGGCAGAAGTAAGTCAACTTCCTTCCCTCCTGCATGTGATACCTATGTTGCTGACAAACTATTTTGTATTTTCACAAAAGCAGCCACAACAAAACAAAAACAGTATCCACATTTTTTATATAATTTTATATTTACAATTGCATATTAACGCAAATAGCATGATTCTTAGTGACGACTGAATGAATATGAATTATTTTATCGAGTGAGTAACAGGTTGCTTTTTCGGCACCCTACTTACAGTCAACTTCGACACATAACACACTCTAAACTTATTTATACCATATGTGTCTCATACGATTATTAACAATATCCATACAAATATATTCTTACAAATAATCATTGATAATTTATTTAGACAAAAAAAAAAGCCGAAATTAAAATAAAAATAAATGATGGTAGGAGAGGTATAAGGTGTCAGCAAAGCGTTACTCATAGCTTTCGAGGTCTTAATACAAACCTTTATCATTCTTGTGATACCACGTCCTTGTTGCTATTAATAAAATTTCTGATCAATAAATCCATTATATATTTTAATAAAAACAAGATATACCAGATAAAATAAGGTATAAGGTTTCAATAATATACCAACAACATCTAAAAGAAGGCAATAGCTTAAATTGATGTTATGATAATATAATATCTGGTGATAGAGAGAGAAAGGGCGAAAATGGGGGAGAGAGAAAGAGGGAGAGAGAGAAAGAGGGAGAGAGAGAAAGAGGGGGAGAGAGAGAAAGAGGGAGAGAGAGAGAAAGAGGGAGAGAGAGAGAAAGAGAGAGAGAAAGAGAGAGAGAAAGAGGGGGAGAGAGAGAGGGAAAGAGAGAGAAAGAGGGGGAGAGAGAGAGAAAAAGGGAGAGAGAGAAAGAGGGAGAGAGAAAAAGGGAGAGAGAGAAAGAGGGAGAGAGAGAAAGAGGAAGATAGATTCAAAAAGCAGTTTGCAATATTTTACGATCTACGATTAAGGAATCATATCGAACACTTACGGCAAATTTGCTTGTAAAAAAATTCTTTTAACTCTAAATATTCACGTTGAATAAAGTTGTTAGAGATTACATATCATAATAATCATGCACATCACTTTAAGAGAAAATTAACAAATCTAACAAGTCTTTTTTATGATGCCAATCCTAAATATTAAAACTTAATACAAATGTTAAAGCCTACGTTAAGTTAATCTTTATATAAAGATTGTATAGTAAAATATGATGCTGATCGAAAAAACTCTTTAGCACAAAATTCAATAGTGATATGGTGGCATCCATAAATATTGACTTGAAATAGAAATTGTATAGCTAATAAATGGTAGTTTTATTATAGAAACTACGTATAATATATATAATATAAATCTATCTAGCGGTTTAGGAAAAAATCAGAATTATGGCATAACATTCCATAAAAGAAATTATTTTCATTTAGAAATTAGAATCACCCACAAAATTTTAATTTTTGAGCGTCTACTGTACTATATGCTTTTATTTATACAATTTCATATAAAGAGTGTTATTTTAGAGTTTTGATTTTGCAAGTGAAATAAAACCCATCGAAAACATGGTAATGTTCTGAAAGTGTCTTAACATAAAATTTAATTGTAAGCCATTTATATGTCTGAGTTGAATGAAACACAATCTGGAAATCAAATTTTCTACGAGCTGAGCTCGTATAAATCTGCAAATGTTAATTTCTAAGTGATCTCAATATATATATCCCTTAAAAATAATCCAAAGAAGTGAGATTACACAACCGTGCTGGATAATTACAGGATTATTTTACAATAATGTTCTACAATAATCTGAAGCTGTTGTAAATTGTTTGTCCATTGATTTTAGGGTTTTTAAGAAAAGGTTACTTTGAAAAATTATGAGTTAGTGATTCCAGTATTCTCACGAACCATGGACACCAATGTTTATTTCAATTGGTTTAATAAATATCTCCGCTGTCAATTGTGAATATTTTCTGTGAAACAGTGTTTCCAAATTAATAATCAATTTTTACAAAAATATGTCCTTAAATTTTTTAACAATTTCATGAAGTAATAATGCATTATTATTAACAAATATATTTTATTTAGTTATTTTGGGTATTTCATGTATGAAATATTTTAATTATTTAATTAGCTTTTATTTATATATTTATAGCAACAAAATCAATATATTAAAGTATATAAGTAATAATTAAAAAATGTCTGAGATTTCTTAAGTCAAGTAGAAGGTTACCTACTTCAAATGGCAATGAGAGAAAAATGGTGCATGATAGATATGATCGTATATAATTGAGTTTCCGGTATTATGCTAATTTACAAAAATTTTGAGAAAAATTGTTTTTCTTTAAGAGTTATGACAATTTTTCCAAAAAAATATTCTTTAAAAAAAATTAATATCCAAACTTATTTACCTAAATAGGTAAATAGGACATATAAGGACACATATATTAAATAGAGAGGCTCTTAATGCAAAATAATTAAGATTTGAGATTTTAACTCAAAGAATTTAACCTTTTTTATACGAGGGATACTATTTATATTTTGAGTCCTGGCAACACTGATTGTTGTCAGATGCCATCTGACGTTTCTATACGAATATTTGACATTATTAAACATAACCTACTTTAGATTTTTTGTCAAAGCAGCGTTAAATGTGTTATTTACAGTGATTTGTAAATTGAGTGTTCCCGAAAAATTGGGATTAACACGAGAAAATTTTCATGCGATGATTTATTACGACTTTCAAATGGTACAACCAGGAAACATTGATGCTGTGCAAAAACTGATAAGGCATTAATACCACCAGCTTACTCGTATTTAAAATATTGCACGATCATTTAGCCGTGAGAAAGGTTTGTTCCCATAATTTGACAAAATCTCAATAACATGTTCGTGTCGATTGGTTCACACAAATGTTCAAGAAGAACAATGGCAGTGCATCAAAAGACGTATATACGATTGTAACAGGTGACCAATTATGAATATATGCGTATAAGCCGGATATATTCATGATCGTAAACAGCAATCGACTGTATGAGTGTTTCAAGATGAACCAAATCCAACAAATGTTGTTTGCGCTCGAAGCGCTTGGAAACAAATGATCGCTTGTTTTTTCGGGTAAACTGATCATATAAAAACTGTATCATTACAGGAATGTAAAACGGTTAATTCCAAATGATATACAACGATTTGTTTACCCGAAGTCTTCAGTGAAACAAACGGAATATGGAAAACAAACAAGCACCGTCTGCTCATTTTCCATCTCCAACAAAACAATGCAAGTGCTTACACATATCGTTTAACAACCGATTATTTGAACATTCAAAAAATCGAAATTATGAGTCATCCGCCGTACAGTTTGGATACTGATTTGGCAACCAATGACTTCTTCTTGTTCCCGAATCTCAAGAATACTCGTAAATTGCGTGAATAATGATTTTCGTCGGTGGAAGAAGTCGTTGTTGCATTTAAAAAGCATGTTTTGGAGGTGTCTGAGGAGGATTGAAAAAAATGCTTTGGCAAATGGTTTGAACGCATGAAAAAGTGTATTAATCATAAAGGATAATACTTCGAGAAACCATAAAGCAATTTTTAACGAAAAGTGAGTATTTTTTTATTATTAGGCTCCAAATATAAATAGTGACCCTCGTAAGTTTATTTGATTTCTTTATGACACCAGAGTTTCCTTGGTATTGCATACTTAAAGCAATCGTGAATTTACAATGAAATATAATGTTAAACATCCACAAAGATTGAATTAAATTTAAAATTTCTCACATGTGAGAAATGTCATTGTCAATTTGTCATTTAAAAGAATTATGTTAATTTCAATTTAGCAATAAATGAGCCGCATATTTTGAATAGTTCTATTTCTGTATACTTTGTATTATATTCAACCGATGGTGACATCGCCGATGATCTCGCAGTACTGGTATATTGAAGAAATGAAATGAAAATTCTTGATTTTATCAAAGTTCAAGTAACCAATGACTGGACTGTCGCTTGAATTAGGCTTTAGTACTCTATAAGATATACGAATGTGTAGGAGGGGCATTTACATCTTCTACACAATGCATATTAAATATACGGGTACTTGCTTATCAAAATTGTTGACGTAAATATGTACATATTTCCGTATTAGATATATAATTTCAATCTTTAAGTGTCAATTGCTTTTGCTTTAATCATGAATGTTTATGCGATTTACAATGGATCGTACTTCAATTGTGATAATTCAATAATACGAAGTGTTCAATCACGAACATGAGTTTTGACCTCCGGCAGAATGTTCAATCATGAACAGGAATTTATACCATAAATTTAATTATTATAGTTTATATCATCACCTAAATTCTTAGAATTATGT